AAAATATTGGTAACTGCTGGAGATTTAAGGCCTGATATCTGATACTTTTGGCATACGTTTGGGGGGGGGGTCATTACACACGGGTGGGTCAGGACTAAACCAGGTCTAAACCAGGAGCAGTTTGTCCGCAAAGCACGATCGGGCAATTGCCGCGTTTAACTCCGTGAGGTACAGAGCTGAGCTGGTCCTTTCTCCTGTGGTCACCTCTGAGCCCGTCCTGACGGTGAGTTCTGGTTTAGTCCTGGTTTAGTCCTGTTTTAGTACTAGTTCAGTCGTGGATTAGTCCTCCTCTTCAGTCCTGGAATCAGTCCTGGGTTAGTCCTGGTTTAGTCTTGGTTCAGTCCGTGGCGTAGGCAGAGCAAAAGTTTGATATAATCTCGGGTTAACGGGCAGGTGCGGTCCTGTATTGCGCGGGTGCGGTGTTGTACTGGGGGTCTCCAAAAATTGACCCGTGCGGGACTCTGCGCTGTTGGGCTCTATTATGGAATAAATTAATCTTCAGATTGTTACATAAAGAAGGAGGAAAATAACACAAGGACGACAGCAGCAACAAGTTTTAAGAAGGAAGTAAAAAGGGTTGCACCTGTCCTGTCTGAGAAAAGTGTATAAAGTTTGTGGTGAGGGGTTTTACAGCCTTAAAACAGATAGAATAATTGTAAAATATAAAGTTGGCTACTTCGCGGATTTCACCTATCGCGGGTTATTTTTAGAACGTAACCCCCGCGATAAACGAGGGACCACTGAACTCTCACTTCGCAACCTGTGCACATGGCCTCTCACAAACGGAGAATTTCTTGTACAAGTCATTGTTAAATGCACATTTGTGCTTCGGTATGTCGCAGACTGACCGACTTTTTGTGTCTGCTCCTTCTGAGTCACAGAGAACTACGAGAGCCGCTCAGTTTAATGCTCCCAATGAACGGTACTGAAAACTCGGACATTTGCATCACTTAAAAAAAAAAAAAACGGACGCCCCGGACATGACGCAAAATACGGACATGTCCGGGGAAAAACGGACATTTGGTCACCCTACTAAAAAGTGCAAATACCGGCCTCTAATATCTTGCCAAGCTATTATCATTGAAAAATAATTGTCCCAGAACATTGTTATATGTGCAGTGGTCCAGAAATGTCATTTAGTCTATTTGGTCCTTGGAAAACCATTCGGACATGTTTCATTTCAATGTGTATTTGACAGTTATCTATTGGACATGTGCATGTGGTTTATATTCAAGATGGCCGACTGACAGCCATATCCCCTTGGTAGCTGGTATAGGTCAATGAGACTTGTCCTGGCAGACCTTCAGCTTGTCTTTATGAGCAGATTGCTGTAACTGTCTATGCCCGTGTAGTTTTAGTCCGTCTCTATGCTGTGCTGTGTGTATTGGGTCGGACTAGTGTGTGATTGTGAATATCTGTCAGAGCACTGCACATCCAACCTTTCGGTGCTCTGTCTCCCTCGGGTGCTGTTTCGCGAGGCAGTGGGCTCGGAGATTTCATGTGTAACAATGATTACCTTCACCTCAAGCATAAAGAGCAAGAGGAGCCAGATAACTGTGGCACCAAGAGGGAAGCCCTGTCGTTACACTCAGATGAAATATGGAGGGGGCAGGGTCTAAGCAGGAAACAGACTCATATTATTACAACCTGTGGGAATAAAGGCAAGTCTGAGCCAACCATTCATCAGACTGGACTTCTATATTTTTCAAAAGGTAAAGGTACTTCCAGATGAGGGGGAAGATGTTCTGAATAAAAAAACTAAAGCATCTATGGCCCCATATTACATTAATTTCTGATCTGATTTCTGATGATATAATTTTGTTTCCCCATTAAAAACATACCTGGAATTATGTTTTGGTTCATTCACACAGGTTTAACACTAAAATCCTGCGTAGTTAATTATTTTTCTCTCTAATATTAGATAAATGTGATGCGGTCATACAGGAAGTGCTCCACTGTGTTTTTAAACTCCACCCACACACACAAATGTTTTTTTTATACATATATATATTTTCCACTTTCAAGCACTTTACAACAAGGAACGACTCATCCATTCATACACACATCCATGCGCCAGTGTACGCAGACACTGGGGCGAGGTAGGTTAAGTGTCTTGCCCAAGGACACAATGACAGCATTCATCTGTGGGAGCTGGAATCATACCAGCCAACCTGTGAGTCAGTGGATTTGACCGCTCAACCAATGATGTTGAGAGCAAGATTTGAACCGTTAAACTTCAGGTCAGTTGATCACCTCTACCAACTGAGCTACTGTCGCCCTACATACACATTCACTAGAATAATTTGGATAATTTTAGCCCTGGAATTGCCACTCTCTACTAATCAAAAAGTAAATGGTAGATGTTAACTTGAAAACTACCACTATCTGACTTCTCAAGGTGGAACAGAGGTGAATTACTCAACAGTGTTGGGAAGGTTACTTTTAAAATGTATTCCCCTACAGATTACATATTACATACCCCAAAATGTAGTTTGTAACGTAATCCATTAAATTACTTGAAGTGAGTAACGTAATCTCAATACTTTGGATTACTTGATTTGCTGTAGAGGAGCAAAGACTAGGATTTCTTCGCATAATATATTTTGTCTGCTAAAAGAAAATGAAAAAAACAGTCTTTACTTCACCGTATTAAAAATATTATTGATAGAAGAGGGGAATACACAGTCCATGCAGCATGGTTTAGTCCTGGTTTAGTCCTGTTAAATCCTGTTTTAGACCTGGTTTAATCTTGGTTTATGCCTGGTTTAGTCCTGGTTTAGTCCTGGTTTTAGGCCTGGTTTAGACCTGGTTTAGTCCTGGTTTAGACCTGGTTTAGTCCTGGTTTAGACCTGGTTTAGTCCTGTTTTAGACTTTGTTTAGGCCTGGTTTGGACCTGGGTTAGATCTGGTTTTAGTCCTGTTTTAGTCCTGGTTTAGTCCTGGTTTGGACCTGGTTTTAGACCTGGTTTTGACCTGGTTTTGACCTGGTTTAGACCTGGTTTGGACTTGGGCTCATTGAAACAGTGACTGTAACCAAGTACAGTTACTCATAATTTGTACTCTGATAACGTAACTCTGGTACATGTAATCTGTTACTCCCCAACACTGTTACTCAAACATGTGTGAATGAAACAAACCACTACTCTACACAGTTTGCAGTAAAAGAAAGTTGTGGATGAGTTCGTACTCAATATGAATTTGACAGTTTGGGAAAAAATACCTAAATCATCTCAACATCGTATCGAAATCAACACTGGCTGTGAAAAAATGTATATCGATCGATCTCTAGTTGGTATATATCCAAGACAGGAAACATACTACTACTACTGCTAGTACTACTTTCATCAAAATCTTTTTACGAGCATCACATCTTTACAAGTTGAGTGTGTCATTGCACACTTAGAGGCCTAAATAGTAAAAAAATATATATTATTTACTATATATTAGCAATAGTAATGGTGGAAATGTATATTATTATAGGATAATACTGTATATAGAAAATAATATATAGAATAATACAGGGTTAATTTGTAATCTATACAAACAAACACATATATATGGCATAAAGATAAAATTATAGTATATTCCCAATCATATATGGTCTTTGATTGGCTGTAAAAGTATACCTGTCGAAAAATCCACATGTCTAGCCTCAGGTGTCACACGGACTGTAATTTCTCAGTTCAGCCAATCAGATCTCGGGAGCATCTGCAGAAGAGCTGTTACAGAAGCGAGGTCACAGAGACAAAACACACAAGGCATCTTCACTGTCTTCTGCTCTAATAATAGTGTCCCATTCCTCCATTTCCTCACACACTGCAGTATGTTATCAATGCGCCACACTGCTGTCATAATGATCACACTTTTATCACCTTTTGTGTTTAAATTACACGGCATACCTGCACTGAACAAAGACAAAATAATACCTGGTAATTTTATGTAATCATCTTTGCTTCAGCGCCTTCCGCACACCACCAATTATAATAGTAAGGACAGTCAGGTTTTGTTATTTTGAAGCGGCAAGGAAACGTCAAGAAAAATCACATCCTTGTTTTGTGACGTCAAACCTGATTAATAGAGTTATATTTTTTATTGTAATCAGGTCAGTGACTTTTGCCTTCCTCAAATATTGGTGTACGGGTATGTGTAAAATTGGAAATAAAAAAAATGATACAGTTGAAATATGATGCTCATTGAGTGAGTTTAAGTTTGCTTTAGTCCCAGAAACGTCAAAATTTATGATAACCTGGTCCAGACTAAGATTAGTTCTGGTTTCTGCTTAAAAATAATTCCACTTACAGTCTCAAGTTTAGTCTGGATTGGAGCTTGGGTTAGTTGCTGTTTTGCACTGATTGGTGAATGGTGGATTATTTTCTCTGCAAAGTAAAGAAACAAAAACAACATGGTCATCAAATATTTTCTTACAAGTGTGAAAGGTTTAAATGGCCCACATTATGCTACTTTTTAAAATCTATGTTATAATACTGTTTCCTCATCAAAAACATACTCTGAGTTGTGTCTTATTTCATTCACATATGTTAAACACACAATCCCTGCATATTTAGTTCTTCTCTCAAACAGAAAGCACTCTGTTCCACATTGTGATGTCATGTGGTAATACAGTTTTCCATTGTGTTTTTAAACTCCATACACCTTCACTAGAATTTTTTGGATAATTTCAACCACGTACTAAACTAAAGTTCAAAGGAAGCTGTTAACTTGAGAACTACCACTACATGACATCACAAGGTGGAACAGATAATTTTGATCTTTGGTGATATCCACAGCAATGTAGTGCCACTCAATATGTGTGAATGAAACAAAACACAACTCCAGGTACATTTTTGTGGAGTCAACAACTTTATAACATGGCTTAAAGCTCACAAAAATCAAGTATAGAACCTTTAAGAACTTTTTCTGAATCCTTATTGGCATAACAAATAACACTGCAATGAATATATATTTTAGAAACTGTCACTTATATTCCTGTTTTCTTTGCAGGAGTCTCCATATGTGATGCTGAAGAAGAACCATGAGCAGCTGGTGGGGAATGACAAATATGAGGGCTACATTGTGGAGCTGGCAGCAGAGATCGCCAAACACGTGGGGTACCAGTACAAACTCAAGATCGTCTCTGATGGGAAATATGGGGCCCGAGATCCAGATTCCAAAATGTGGAACGGTATGGTGGGAGAACTGGTCTATGGGGTGAGTAATTTACCTTTTCTTTTAATTACCTTTTTTAAATATTGCACAGAAGTCATGTTTAATTAAAGGTGCATTATGTAACATTTATGGTCAAGGGTTTGCTACTTGCTTCAGGTTTCATGTTTTCATTTCACCACCTCATGAAGAAATTTGGCAGGGGTCAGGAGAATATACTATAAGTCAGGCTCCACACATCAGCACAATCAGTCCATGTTGTTAATAAATGTTATGGACTGGGGCATCTCCTCCCAGACTGCAGGAGTGCATACTGTGTGATGAGCACATGAGACTGATCTCTCATGTTCAAACATAGTCTGTGGGGCCTACACAGCATAAAGCATTATCTATGTTATCTATGTTATTAGTGCACAAAGTTAATCATCAAAATTTCCAGTGGTAATAGGCTTTTAATTAATCAAATTGTAGTTATTAGCACAATATGTATAATTCAGAAATCCCTTGGCAAGCTACTTGGAAGGGGGTGGAGAGCTACTGGTAGCTCCCAAGCTACAGGTTGCAAGCCTTTTGAACGTCCCAGACAAGAGAATAAAGCATCTGTACAGACAAGCAAATGATCGACCTTCACCATAAAGGTTACGTAGTGCATATTAAAATAAAAGAAGAAAAAAAATATGGGATGAATCAATTTTGTGAAATGTAATTCCCAAACAAAAAGTTGGATTTTACTGCACACCATGTACCTTTTATCATTTGAATACAAACAAAACAAATTGACCTTCAAGTTACAAAAAATATGAAAAGACAATGAAAATAACAAGGTTTAAAAACAAGTAAAGTCAGGATGTTTGGGTTTTATGGGTACAATATATTACCTTCAAAATGACAGACAAATTTCAATCTCCATGCATGTTTTGTAAAAGTTCCATCTTTTAAAACCATCGTGGCATATATCTAACTCTATTCTATTAACAACAAATCAAATCAGGCCATTACAAGCGAAAGGACAGAACCTTTAACTTTAACTATATTTGAAAAATACAAAAAAATATACAGTTTATGACAGACAACAGCATAACATTTCATCATTATTATTTCTTTTCTTTTTGCCTGTTAGAAAGCGGATGTGGCTGTAGCTCCTCTCACCATCACTCTTGTACGCGAGGAGGTCATCGACTTTTCCAAACCCTTCATGTCTTTGGGCATTTCCATCATGATCAAGAAACCCACCAAGTCCAAACCAGGGGTCTTCTCCTTCCTGGACCCCCTGGCATATGAGATCTGGATGTGCATAGTCTTTGCATACATTGGGGTCAGCGTGGTTCTCTTCCTCGTCAGTCGCTTCAGTCCGTACGAGTGGCATTCAGAGGACTACGAGGAGGGGGGTGAGCCACAGACCCCCACCCAGCCCTCTGCGTCCAATGGGGTACAACAGACGCCCACGGTCCCACAGCCCAATGCTGTTCAGCAGAGTCCAGAGCAGACCAATGAGTTTGGGATCTTTAACTCACTCTGGTTCTCACTGGGAGCCTTCATGCAGCAAGGATGTGACATCTCGCCAAGGTAAGGCAATGCTTCTCTGTAATGAATTTATATCTTGTTTATTATGAATTATTGGTTGCTTCCCAATTGGCACAGATGAAATTTTATAGTAGAGCGTGTTACCTGATGTCTGCTAAGAGAATGCATAGTGCAGTTGTCTCTGAGGAAACACTTGATCCAGCGGCCTGTTTTAAAACGCTGTTACAGTTTTAAATAGTTTGATTTGTCATACTCAGAAAGGTACTTATTATTTACTTGACGCAGCAGTGTCTCAGTGGTTAGAGCCGTTGGGACTCCCCTGAGAATTTTTGGGGACCCAAATTTGGGTCTCTACCCCTAGATTAGGAATGACTAGGTTAGAGCACTCATCTGCCAACCATCTACCATGGTAATAGACATTAATTAATCAAATTGTAGTTATTAGCACAATACGTATAATTCAGAAATCCCATGGCGAGCTACTCTGAAGGGGGTGGAGAGCTACTGGTAGCTCCCAAGCTACAGGTTGGAGACCCTTGCTCTGTACTAGTTCTTTAGAAGGCCAGCATAATGTTATGACTGACTCCAAACTGCCTTAATCTCCTAAAAAAGTACAGACACTGGTGTATCTTGGCACACACACAATAAATAGAATTTATTACTAAGTTACAGGTCAGATCTGTGGAGAAGTGAGACTGCTCATAGCAAGAATGCGTGTTTTTCAATATATATTTTTTTAACGATAAAACACTTGCAAGTCTTTTGAACATTCCAGACAAGGCAATAAAGCATTTGTTCAGACAAGCAAATGATGGACCTCAATCATAAAGGTTACTATTATATAATAGTAACCATATTAAAAAAAAAGAGGAAAAAAGAGGAAAAAAAAAGCTTGGATTATGGAACAAACAGATTTTTCTCCTCATGAATCAATTTAGTGAAATGCAATTCTCAAACAAAAAGTTGGATTTTACTGCACACCATGCACCTTTTATCATTTGAATACAAACAAAACAAATTGACCTTCAAGTTACAAAAAATATGAAAAGACAATGAAAATAACAAGGTTTAAAAACAAGTAAAGTCAAGATGTTTATGTTTTATGGGTACAATATATTACTTTCAAAATGACAGACATTTTCAATCTCCATGCATGTTTTGTAAAAGTTCCATCATTCAAAACCTTCATGGTCTATATCAAACTCTATTTCAACCAGATGGGACCCTTGGGACCCCCTTGAGAAACTTTGGGGACCCAAATTTGGGTCTCGATCCCTAGATTGGAAATGACTATATTAGAGCACTCACCTACCAACCCAAAAGTGCTTAGGCAAGACACGTGTGACAGAAGTGAAATGCAAATATTGACAGGCTATTACTGCTAACCAGGTCTGGTATTGATCTCACTTATTTATGTCTTTACAGAGGCCTTGTTGCTAGGTGATTTGAGTGCCTATACTTTATTAATCTTATAGCTGGCCAAAATTATATCTTGATCATAATCTATATTTTACATGCTTTACTAAACCTATTTAAATTATTTGGCTTTTTTTGTTCTTCTTTTAAACAATACACTGGGGCTGTTTTGTGTAGTGATGTTACAAAGACATGAAGTGAATTTAAAGTGAAAATATTTGAGATTATAGAATTGTAGATCCAAATTTCTCAATCTCACTAGCATGCTCCGCCCTTTGTGCACTGTTATGAAAGACCCCGCAGCGAGCATGGAGCAGTGTTCTTGGACCCCCTCGAGTCTTGTCATGCGCTGTGCTATGAAACTGTTCTGTAAAGGTCACCAATTAAAAATCTCATTAAGTGCCTGAAATTAGAGACACTGGGGTCAACTTTCTGAGCTTTCCAGTGGGACGGACAGGAGAGGAGACGAGGAGAAGATAATGTTAGTGTTACCTTGGAGCTGAGAGTGGAGGAGACAGGTTAGGTCATGTGTCCAAGTACCACCGCTGTGCCTTTTAAACATTAAGTAACATGCATTATGGACATGGCAGGTGGTTCACATACGCCATACATAATACATGTATAGCACAGAGTGTGGGGAAATGGAAATGTGATCATGTGGAGTAGAAAAATGGAAAATTGCTGCTATTGCTCAGAAGTGAGAAAAACTATATATATATATATATATATACTTTTACCAATCGTTGTACTAGCTAAAATCTCAGCACATGGTATTATTTTATCAAGTGTACCAAAGCAGACAGGAGGAAATGCGTGCAATGTTCACCACCACTGCGGTTGGTAAATCAAACTTATGACCTTGTTGCTGCGTGGAAAGGGTGCTAACCCCTGCTCCACCTCCTAATTTAGAAAAAAGTCCAGGTCAAAAGAAATGTTGAACTTAGTTGTGTGTAAAAGTGCCTTTGACAACTATACTAAATACTGATCTAAAGTACTTCATTTCAGTCTTTTCTGTATCTGCAGTTAGATACACACCTCTTCTGCTGATAGGATCTATTTAAATATGCTCGCTAACAGTCCCATTGTTTACATAATCAATAACTAATCAGCTATAAATGGCTTTAGACTTGCTGGGCTTGCAGGTATGAAAGTAATTATTAGTTTAAAAGGTTGTTGCACAAAAACGCTAGTGTGCCCAGTCAGCCCTTCTTATTACTGCCTGAAGGTTAAAGAAATGACTGCTTCATGTGAGTTGCACTTAGTTTCAGTCTTGTGACATTTTCAAAAACCTATTTTCACTCTCCGCCTACCTTACAACAAATATCAGCAAGAAAAATTCCTGTTCACCTACAGTATACAGCAATACATGGGTGCTCAATGCTACATAATGTTCAGTTCCCAACACCCACGGGTGCTCACCTGACATTTAAAATTCTCTGCCTAGACCATCCAATCTACGATGAAGCCTATTGTAGTGATGGTGTTTTGTGTTTTTTTTTAACACCACTACAAAATGCATCTGCTGCATCTATTGATTTCTCTGCACAGTTTACAAAAAGAAAAATGTCCCACACTTCAGTGACTAGATCCCTGAGGTTTCTGTTTTGAATGCAAAGCCATATATTTTTTGTGTTTCCATGACTACAAATGCATGCCTGATTAGTCACACATGGGCTTATGCAAATAATGATGTTGAGTATTTCATTTCGCAGGATCAAAACATGCTTGCAGATGCTTCCTCCAGAGCTCTTGACAGCACTTTTCTGGTGATGTCACCTTTGGCAATGAAATTTACATTTGCAACATAGCTTTTGTTGTATTGTATTGTATTGGGTTTTGTTTTTGTTCCTTGAGCTTTTTATAATAGCTTTGTTCTGATCTGGGACAAATGGAAGTCATGATTTGTCATTTGCACCTAAACAGATGGATCCAGTGCTCTCATCATACATATCAGATTGTTTGTTCAAATTCTGTTCTCTACTCACTACTGTTGATGTGTCATTGAGCAAGACACTTAAAGGGCCCATATTACACCATTTTGTGATCTATGTTATGTTTTAGTTTTTATTTGTTTATTTATCAGGGACAATGCACAAAAACATTGACCTACACAAAGAAGCCATATGTTTGTGCAAGTTTATAATGATGTTTCCTCATCATACCTGGAGTTGTGTTTTCATTCGCACATGCTAAAAACACAAACCCTGCATATTTAGGCTGAGTTCCTCTCTCGAACTGAAAACACTCTGTTTCACATTACGAAGTCATGTGGTAAGATAGGTGCTCTGTTTTTAAACTCCATACACCTTCACTAGAATCATTTTTGATCATTTTAGCCCAGGACTTGTCAATCTCTACTAAACAAAAGGCCGTTAACTTGAAAACTACCACCAAATGACATAATGAGGTGGAATAGAACATTTTGAGTTTCGAGATGTAGACAGACTAATAATAAAAGCTTACTGAAACATGTGTGTATGAACCCGATTCCAGTTATGTTTTTGGCAACAACCTGGCTTGAAGCTCACAACAATCAGGTTTGTGTAATGCTGTTGTAGTATTCAGTAGATGGTTGTGTATGAGCCACATATCTTACACTACAACAGCGGACATTGTTGCCAGCACTGAAATATAAGGATGTTGGTTTGCAGTTTTTCTCTTTTGGTCCATGTAATGTCCTTGGGCAAGTCACTTCAAACACCTTGCTGCTATGAATGTTTTAGTATGTTTGTGAAATAGAAGAAGATCATAATATCCATTGAAGCTCCTCACCACTACCAATGAGAGGCTTTTTTTTTTTTTTTTTTTACAAAAGTGAAACAACCAAACTATGTAAAATAATTCAGATACTTGCATTAAATATAGCAACAAACAACAAAAAATAGCTGGATTGGGTATTGGTTCCATGATATTGATTAAGTTGTTTTCCTGATTGGGCCTTTAATTGGATTTAATGTTTTAACTTTTTTCATATGAACCTGTTGATGAGTAGGATAAATGACACATTTGGAACTCTTGTGGAATAAGTAAGAGTTAAAGCTGTGTTTTAAAGAAACAAGTTTCATTTTCAGTCCTTGCAATGGCATCTGTTAATATCAGCTCTCAGCAGATACTTAAATCATGGTAACAATATCAGTACTGGAACTGAAAAAGCTGGATCGGCGCATCCCTAATGTGAAACCAACACATTATATTTATTTTGAAATGTATGCCATAATTTTAGTGTGTGAGCACCTGTATTTATAGCTACGATAGATTACATTTCATATGAAGCCATTTTTCTGTGTCACTGTAGCTTTAAGAAATTCACCCAGTCTTAGAGGACCTACCCATCACAGCGCTCCTCCTCACACCTCCCTGATGGTGCCCTGGAGGAGACAAGATACCCCTGAAGATTGGGGTGACCTAGATGCTCCAGTTGGCACATAAACTGAAGCGGCGCGTCTCCTAAAATGTGTGATATCTAGATGAGAGACGTAGCAAGACAGGCTATGCTTACAGCCACGAGTAGTACAGACCCGAAACCATTTGTGTTGTATTTGTTATCATCATTTGCACATGGCTCATATTATCCTCTGTATGCAGGCATGACATATTCAAGCTTTGAGGGGAGAAAAGTAATATAT